AAATGTCGAAATACAATTTATCGATTTAAACATACAATAATTTAACGCAAAACAAAATTAAATTTGCGTATATAAACTTACCGAACCGACAAGATTGGCGTCCACAAATTTTTCGACGTCTGATTTCGATAAATTTTTTAGTTTTTGTGGTTGAGGCAAATGAAGGATGAGAGTGTTTTATTTATCTGGATTGGAGTAAACAGATAAGAAAAGTAGGAAGTGTTTGATTTTTATTTATTAAGTAAAAGGATATTGACATCTTTTAAAAAAACCAACTTTTGAAATTGTATAATGTATTTAAGGGTATTTTTGTTTTTTAACATTGGATAGTCTATTTTTATAATATCCCTTTGTTGAGAAGTCAATGTGTAATTTAGGTGATTTGACTGAGTCAATTTTAGAAGTACCCTAGAAAGCTGTTTACAACGAGAAGAGAGTCTCTGTTCGGGTTTGAATTTGATCATATGACTTCTTATTATTGTCTACTTTTATTTGGTTTACCATACTTTCTGATGTGGTTTTTGATGTGGTTTTATCAGTTTGATCACTGAAGATGTGATTTTAATTGAATATTTGCATATGGTTTTTAGGAAAATATGTTATAATAGGTTATTGCTTTTATTTGAAGCATATTGTTATTTCTAAACGTCTAAGAAATCAATTTCTTTGGCTGATTACCGCATTTTAATACAAACTGTTCTATTCCTATTATCTATTGAATTGTGAAATCACTGAAATGTCTTTCTTTTGAGCATGTTTGACTAGGCTTAAGTTTAATTGATAATAAGCAAATGAGTTAGTTTTATCTACTTGGTCAATCTACGCTACTAAATTGTACGAAAAAGTCATTAGCTGATAAAGACTTAAAATATTATTCATTAATCAGAATGTATTCTGATTTATTTGATATTAATGTAATTGAAATTATAATATTGTTGAGACTTAAAATAAGTAACGCCCCTTAGATAAAAAATGAATTTTTAATAAATTTTGATAAAAATTGATGAAAAATATTAGAATTCCTTAAAGTGTGTGATTAGTATAAATTATTAATTTTAACTTAAATTTTAATCGCACCAAAGTCGATCAAAACTATATAACTGTTAATACAAATTAATAAAAGGATAAAGATAGTTTGTAGTGCTATATTTGAAAACGAATAAGGTCAACCCAATCGAATCAGTAACCAGCAACTGCCACCCTTTCCCCTCGGCCCTCGCTCTCAAACTGCCCAATAGCCACGTGCCCCCACCAAATGGAAAACTATTCATTACTCGAATTTAATAAACAATTAAAAAATATTCATAAGCCACTGTTCTCTCATTTCTTTAGAAACCTACCGATCTATTTATTATTATTGATTTTTTATTTTTTGTTTTTGGTTTGATTATATATTGAAAGCTTCCTTCGATATTCTGTCCTCCATAGGTACGTGATAAATTCTATGGATAATTACAGCACATTAATTATACTTGTGGTACTTTTATTCATTACCCCATATTTTTTATTTTTTTCCTGGAGGGGGTGGGGGTGGTGGTAAATTAAAGATAGGGTTGGGGGCTGTAAATTAAAGATAGAATTTTATGAAAGTACTGATTAAAATCCGTGTTAAATTCTGTCTAGTGTTACCTTTGCAATATTTTAATTTTGGAGTAAGATTGTTTTCATAGTGGGAATGTATTTTTTGCAGCAATATTCTGAATTCTATTTATTTAAGTTGGTTTTTCTCACACTTCAGTATTTTTGTTTTTGTGTGTGTGGTTCTTTTAGCTTATACTGATTATAGTCACTAGCGAGAGAAATTGTAAAAATTGAAGGTGACTGTCACAGTGCAATTAGTTTTAGTTCATTTTTTTTTAAATTTTTTGGAGTCAAGTATATTGTCGCCAAGAAATTGGCTTTCTTTAACTGATGCAATCAGATATTTCCTGATCAGGGCAACACTATTTTGTCAATTATTTTTAGAGATGGTTATCTTTTTTGTGTTATGTTCATTTCAAGATGCACCTATCATTCTTGTTTTGGGATACCTTATTTTTCAATTTTTGACATGAAAGACCCAATTTTTTTGATGTCCCTGATTAGTCTTGTGCGTTATATGTTGCAGTAGTTCAGCCTTTGATGATTCAATATTTGCTAGGCAGTAAGTACTAAGATTTGATAGATATTTCTTTTATGCTCACTTGCCAGTGTTCTGTACATATTTGATTGCAAATAATTGAGGTTTGGTAGTAAATTTGTGGTTTCATCAGTTGTGGTTGTTGATGTAGAAATCATTTTCTTAGTGGAATCTGTGCATACATGAAACAGAAAGTTTCGCTGATCAGTTCAATAAATGAAAAATGTTGGGAAATTATCACATCGGGATTTGGGAAGAAACCGAGAAATGTAAATTTAAGAAGATGAAAATAATGGGAAAAATTTAAATAAATATGAAGGCTCAAATACGACATTATATCGTTGTCCTCAAACGATATTTGCCCCTCTCGGTAACATTTTGGTGCTTAAAGGGTCTCGCGGCACCTGGTTTGTAGAATTGATAAAGCCTTGTTGTAAAAAATCACAAAAGCACAAATGATTTTCTACGCAAACTTGAAGAACACAAGAGGGAAGAATTGAATATGGAAGAGAGGACGTTTGATCATTTTTGTGGAATGAAAATAATGTTTCCATATGTTTGTAATATGATTTTCAATCTCTCCGTAAAGACCAACAAACACCTATTTATAGCCATGAAATATTGCCACACAAAATGGTGCCAAAAGGTCATGAAGAGATGCAAGATTTTCTCAAAAAGCCGCCAAAACATAAACTGAAAACAGCATCTAACGGCTAAAAAATTGTACCATCCGACCGCATGGATGCGGTTGCATGGAGTATTTCAACAGGCCCCTTTAATTTCATATGGCGTGCGATTGCATGGCCCAAATTTTGGGGCTCTGTTTCAGTTTCACGTTTCAATTTTGTTTCTTTTCATTCCTCACACATATTTATTGATTTTGAACATGTTTCCAACAAAAATTTCTAAATCTATCCATAAATGAAAAGATCATTCACCCCGCAAAATGAAAATGTGTGCAAAGAAGTTACTTTTCTTTCCTATGAGAAGAATACTTTTTTGAGTGGAACAAAATCTTTCTCCTGTTCTCTTTCTTTTCATCATCTCTTCAATTTTTCTCATGGTTAAACTTTATATTACATGATTGATCTTATCGAGGTAGGAATAGTTGTCACCCATTCCGAGTTCTGACCCAATAACACAAGCATGGATGTAAATGCACTCTTATTTGGGGGATTAAATTGTTTGTATTCTGCATCACTTCGCTATTTCACTTCCCAGATTTGCTTCTCTAGTCTAGGACTATCGGTTTGTTCAACGCGCTTCGTTTCTTTTGGCACAAGAGTTTTAAACTTCATTTAATGTTTTGTGTAGAACCCCAAATAATTCTAGACACCTTAGTGGCACTAAGACATGAATATTGGATGACTAAAGTATACTTCAGATTTTTAGTCTCATTTGAGAACCATTTTCGATATGGGAAACATTCGATTTGAAAAATGATATCTAAATAAAAGTTGTAGCTCTTTGAATTAGCTTTCCAACGTACTTTGAATTACCTCAATCGGATATCGGGAGAAGAAGTTATGATAGAAACACTGAAAGTTGTGCAGTGTCAACCGGACTACAACCGGTCGACCGAAGCTGCCTGAAATGAAAATTCTCGTTTTTCTCTAGAATTTAAATATTTATTTTCATCAATTATTTTCTCAAAGGGCCACTCACGTTTTTGGCAATAAAAACCCCACTAAATTGAAGCATTTAACCTCAAACTTAAATGGCACCCATGTTTTCTCTCTTAAATGAAATTTGACCATTCATTTGCTTTAAGTTATGGGATATTTACCTATAAATAGAGACCTCATTTCACTCATTTTTTCTCACACCAAAAGCAAGAACTTTTACATACTAAAGAAAAAGTTTCCAAAAGAGAAAGAGAGGGAAGAAAACTATTTTTCCTAGAAGTTTAAGAAGTGTTTTCAAGCATCAATTCTCAACGGTTTTCAAACATCCAAGGAGTGCATTTCTTTCAACATCCAAGTTTCATCGAAGTTTTCAATCCAAGTTTTCAAAGTTTCAAAAGCATCAATCAAAGTAGGTAGATGTGCAATGTGTTTAATCGTGTTAAGTTATAAGTTTCGATTCATGTTAATGTTTGTATGTCAAATGGTACTCTGGTACGGCATATCCCTCTATGTTAATGGTTGTATGTCAAATGGTACTCCGGTACCGCATACCCCTCTATGTTGAAAAAATGTTCGTATGTCAAATGGTGCCCTCGGGTACGGCATACCCCTTTATGTCAAATGGTGCCTCCGGGTACGGCATGTATGAAAAGTTATAAAGTTAATATTTTGAAAGGTATAGCTTGATTACGAATGCACCTATGACACCTATTGAGTTTTTCAACTCACGGGTTTAATCCCATCTCTACAAATTGAAGGAATTCTACCTTGAACATAGATGGGAGAGAAAATGGAGAGTGATGTAATGAGCCCATGAAAATCCGGTGAATAAGTGATTTGGATTTATTTTTATGAAATGTTTTCCAATGTTATTTCTTTAAAGTTTTGAATAACGCAGAATGCGAGAACAAGTTATGTTTTCTTCAAATAAATTACATTTTGTTGTTTTGAAAAATGATTCAATATTTTTGTTTAAAGTATTTGAAGTATTGTTATTTAAATTATTATCCGCAGATGTAAGTTTCCGCTAAAATGTATACACTTGTTACTAAACCACCGGTTAAGTTAAGTAAAGTAAGTAGCATTCCGGTCCACTAGGGGTCGAGGCATTACATTTTGAACAGGTTGGACTTTATTCATATTCATCGTTCAGGAATAGCCTCTCGCTAATGTCCCACGGTTTAACTGGGGCAGAACATGAAGATCTGATGAATGTTTCATTTTGAGAAGTGCACACACTTTTATTGCAATTTGGATCGTTTCCTTAGCAAAGACTTTATGGTCACTTTAAGAAGTTCGTTTTCTAGAGAAGAGAAGTTGTCAATTTTATTTGTTGCTTCCTCACTTCTGACTCCAAGATGCATATGTAAAATATTTGTCCTTGTGATCACCTAATGTCGGAAGGTTCCATCGCAGTTGTCAAACCAGAGGTTTATGGAAGGATTATTTTAGACTTCAATTACGCTTATACGAAATATAATACAAAAATAGATCTTAATGGTTCAAGTGTGAAGATTACTCTTTTTCAGTCTTCAGTAGTTGGATATTTGCATCCCATGTTTCTTTCAATACATGTTATTCTGATTCTAGTTCTTGCCATCTGCTACATTTTGTTTTCATTTTCACTCTCTATTTCCTATTGTTTATTGAGGGTTATAGATTTACAGCCTGTTTGTTTCTATTTTCATTGTAAAATGCATTTTGAAATAGTTGATTGTTGAAGAATGTGTGGTTAAGAAATAAGGAAAAGTTTTAGTCTTGCGTGTAATATTATTTTATTAAAGAAAGTATGGTTGAACAGAAGAGAGAAAAATTTATTTTGGGAGGCTTAATATACTTAAACAGCAGTGGTTTCACCAATCCTACTTTATATTTCGATTCGAAATATTTTTTTAAGATTTGGGGTCCATCTTAATAAGGTCAACCTTATTAAGAGGAGTGGTCCAAGATCTATTTAAGTTGGTCAATATTTCGGTAGTTAACCAATGTGAAATTTTATTCCCTTAACATGCCCCCGCAAGATGGTGGCTCGTTTTGAGCAGACCAATCTTGAAATTCGTGTACTCATTTTTGAGACTTAATCGGATCGAATAACTCGTTGGAGTTTACTGGGCTCTGATATCAGCGATTAGTTGGCAAATTGATCTATCTTTCACACACTAGACCTAATATTGCATTTGCAGTTAGCATGGTTAGCCAACATATGCACTCTCCAAAGGAAGTCCATTTAGAAGTAGTATACAAAATTCTCAGATATCTTAAAGGTAATCCTGGAAAAGGACTTTTCTTTAAGAAAAATGAAAAGAAAGAAGTAGAAATCTTTACTAATGCAGATTGGGCTGGTTCAATAGAACATAGAAGATCAACTACAGGTTATTGTACCTTTGTATGGGGAAATTTGGTAACTTAGAGAAGTAAGAAGCAAAATGTGGTAGCCGGAAGCAGTGCTGAAGCCGAGTTTAGAGCTGTCGCACAAGGAATATGCGAAGGACTGTTGATAAAAAAGTTATTGGAAGAATTACAGACGATGGTAAAACTTCCAATAAAACTTTATTATGACAACAAAGCAGCTATCAACATCTCCCTCAATCTAATTCAACATGATAGAACCAAACATGTGGAAGTAAATAGACACTTTATCAAAGAAAAGGTTGAAGAAGGGACCGTATGCACAATCTATGTGCCTACAGGAAAACAAATTGCAGATATCTTCACCAAAGGATTGCTACGACGGAATTTTGAGGAATTTATTTGCAAGTTGGATATGATCAACATTTACGATCCAACTTGAGGGGGAGTGTAGATATTCCGAGATTATGGGATAATTAGGATTTGATTATGTATGATTGTATAACCTTATTTAGAATAGGTAATTTTTTCTCTTTTCCATGTATAGGAAGTTACCTTGTTGGCTAACCATGCTAACTGCAAATGCAATATCAGGTCTAGTGTGTGAGAGATAGATCAATTTGCCAACTAATCGCTGGTATCTGTCCTTTTCAACTGATTCTCTTGTGTTTTCTTCCTTTCTTCCTGCCTCTATTGGCGTGTCACTTGGTTTATAGCCAAGTATGCCAGTTTCCGTTAGAAGGTCAAGAATGTACTTTCGTTGTGAAACACTAATGCCTTTCTTTGATTTGGCAACTTCCATCCCCAAAAAATATCTCATCTATCCCAAGTCTTTTACTTCAAACTCCGTGGCTAGGCTCTTCTTAAGCCTTTCTATTTCCACTATATTATCTCTAGTCAATATGATGTCATCAACGTAAACAATTAAGATTGTTTTCATCCCCGTTTCAGACAATTGGTAGAACATTGTATAGTCTGACTGCCCTTGTTGATATCCTTGACTTTTCAGTACTTTTGCGAATCTGTCGAGCCACGCTCTTGGTGATTGTTTGAGACCGTACAAGGATTTTTTGAGTCTACATACCTTATTTTCTTCCTCGCTTTCATAGAAGCCTGGGGGTAATGTCATAAAAACCTCTTCTTCTAATTCTCCATTCAAGAAGGCATTCTTGATGTCTAGCTGTTGGAGAGGCCAATCCAAATTTGCTGCTAAGGACCAGATAACTCGGATTGTATTCAATTTTGCTACAGGGGGGAATGTTTCTGTATAGTCAATGCTATAGGTCTGTGTATATCCTTTTGCAACAAGACGAGCTTTGTACCATTCTATTGTCCGATCATATTTGTACTTCACATTAAAGACCCATTTGCACCCGACGGATCTTTTCTCCCTTGGTAAGTTTACCACATCCCAAGTTTTGTTTTTGTCCAGTGCTCGCATTTTTTCCAAAACTGCTTCTTTCCATTTGGAAATAGCCATGGCTTCTTGAATATTCTTTGGAATTTCTATATTATCAAGGTTATATGAGAAAGTGCAAAATCCTGCAAATAGAGTATTATATGAAACAAATTTTGAGATAGGGTGGAGAGTACATGATCGAGGTTGTTTTCTAAGAGCAATAGGTAGATCACTTTTTGAAGCTATCATCAGTTCGGACTCTTTTGGTGCTTCAGATGTGAGGTTCTCCTTATACATTGATTTCGGCTTTCTTGAGTAAACAAATATCTCCTTGCTAACTTGTTTTTCAGCATCTCCCCCTGAGTTTAAGTTTACCTTTGTAGATGGCATGTTAGGACCAGGAAGAGTAATTGATTCGGTGTTTATGATAGGTTCACTAGGGGAAAGATTAAAGTTGAAGAATCGATCTTGATTTGAGAATCGATCTTCACGTAAATTCTCCCCCTGAAGATAGTGTTTTTTTTATAATAAGGGGTTCTTTCTAAAAACGTAACATCGATGCTAACAAATACTCATCTTGTGGATGGATCATAGCATTTGTAGCCCTTTTGTGTAGATGAATATCCAATGAGCACGCATTTAAGTGCATGAGGATCTAGTTTACTTCGGTGGTGAGGATGTATGTGGACGAAAGCAGTACAACCGAATATGCGGAGTGGTAAGCTCGAATCAAGTCGGGAATTGGGGAAGAATTCCTGAAATACTTGGAGTGGTGATTTGAAGGAGAGAGTGCGACTGGGCATTCTATTGATGAGATAGGCTGAGGTTAAAATGACATCTCCCCAAAAAAATTTTTGGCATATTTGTGGTGAACATTAAGGCACGAGCCACCTCAAGGAGGTGTTTATTTTTCCGCTCAACAATGCCATTTTGTTGTGGAGTATCGACACAGGAACTTTGATGAATTATTCCATGTTTTTGGGGATACTCTTTCAAGGTGGTATTGAAATATTCTGTACCATTGTCAGTACGCAATATTTGAATTTGTGTCTGAAATTGTATTTGAATCATTGAATGGAAATTTATGAATACGGATCTGACATCTGACTTTTCTTTTAGGAGATAAACCCAACATATTCTAGTATGATCATCTATAAATGTTACGAAACCATTTTTTGTGTGTTCGATTTGGAATTCGTGAAGGACCCCCATAAATCACTGTGAATGGTTTCGAAGATTTGTATATAGATTTTGGAAAGAAGGTACGATGATATTTTTCCAGTTCACAATGTTCACATTGAATATCAAATGTCTTTTTATTAGAAAACATGGAAGGAAATACATGGCGTAAATTCTGAAAATTGGGATGACCCATTCTAAAATGTCATAACAAAAGCTCACTATCTCTAGGAACAAAAGTAGAATCACAATTTGCAATTTGATTATTCTTATTCACGTCTGCTTCCTCAAAGTAGCAAAGTCCCCCACATTCCTTAGCACTGCCAATCATCTTCCCCGATGATAGGTCCTGAAAAATGCAATAAGATAAGAGAAATTTAGCTAAGCAATTGGAATTTTTCATTAATTGGCTAACTGACAATAAGTTACAAGATATGTTTGGAACGTGGAGAACGGACTCCAATGTTATAAAATTAGAGATTCGAATACTCCCTTTTCCTGCTACAGGTGAGAGTGAGCCGTCTGTGATTTTAACCTTGATATTGCCAACAGAAGTGAAATATTTGGAAAAAAGGTGGAAGGAGCCCGTCATATGATTGAACGCACCTGAGTCAATAATCCAAGGAACTGTGGATTGAGTAGTTGTATGTAATGCTTTGGAAGAATTACCTTTGTGAGCTAGTGAACTTGATGGACCCAATTATTGGAAACTTGAAAACATTTTATATAGTTGCTCCAATTGTTCAGGATTGAATGCACTGCTCTGAGTAGAGGTACTCTTTTCTTCGATAGGATCAACAACCGCTTGGTAACCCCGATTCCTGTTATTTTGTCTTGGTTTCCAGTCAGCTGGTTTTCCATGTAGTTCCCAACATGTATCTGCTTTATGCCCTGGTTTACGACAGTGATCACACCAAGGGCGTCCCCTCTGTTGTTTTGGGCCGAACCCATTAGTGGGTGTTCCTTTGGAAATTAGGCCCAATTCGATAGATCCAAGTCCTTTAGCTCTATTTAATGCTGGCCCTCTAGGTAATTGGGCTGAACCATACCCTTTAGTTAATTGGGTCGACCCACCAAGCCCACATTCTGTTGATAATAACGCAGACCCAGTTTCCTCTTCAAGCCCGGTGGTCTTACCTTCTTGAAGCATCACTCCTCCCCGATTTTCTTCTCTACGAACCTCAGCGAGCACTTCGCGAAGTGATGGTAGGGGTCGCCGGCCAAGGACTCTTCCTCTCACATCATCTAATTCCCTATTAAGCCTAGCCAGGAACTCGTATACCCGTTTGTTTTCAATTTTCTTTCTGTACCGTACACTGTCAGCCGGACAGTCCCATTCTTCCTCGACATTGTGATCGAGTTCCTGCTAGAGTAAAGACATCTCCAGGTAGTAGTCTGTCACGTCTCTCTCCCTTTGCTTCGTCTGCCAGAGTATCGTTTTGATCTCAAAGATTTGTGAAGAATTTTCAGCGTCCGAATACATGCCACGAACGGCATCCCACACATCCTTTGCTGTCGATAGAAACAAGTAAGTCTTTCCAATCGGAGGTTTCATGGAATTAACTAGCCACGCAGCCACCATTGAATTTTCCGACCTCCATTTTTGCAGAAGTCCGACGTCGGTTGAGGCGCGCTTTTTCTTTTGTCCGATAAGATAACCTAGCTTTCCTTTTCCGTCGACGATGATTTTTATTGACTGAGCCCATTCTTGATAATTTTTTCGTTCAAATTTTTTACTGTGAGTTGAAAGGAGGAATTGTCGAGTCCACCGGAGCCCAAGGTGGAAAGGGATTCAATTTCACTGTTTTGTGCTTCTGAGGTTGTTGACTCCTTGCTGTTGGCGGTGTTTTCTTCCGTTGACTGTGTGGTTAGGTAAGGACAGACCCTAGCTCTGATACCAGGTTAAGATTTGGGGTCCATCTTAATAAGGTCAATTTTATTAAGAGGAGTGGCCCAAGATCTATTTAAGTTGGTCAATATTTCGGTATTTAACCGATGTGGGATTTTATTCCCTTAACATATTTATTGTAGAACATCACCATGTTGAAGGGCTATTTACCCGTTGAATTGAGCTACATGTTTTTTGCTTCTGGATAAGAGCCATGTTATATCACATTGATTTAATCGTCGACTAGGAAGAGGAAACTTTTTTCCTCCTTTCTGAGAATGTTTCTTGTTAGCTTGAATTATGTGGGCATCCTTATTCCATGATTTTCATTTCAACAACACAATTATTATCTAAATAAAATAAATCAGAATGAATGGCACTACAAACATCATATTTTTGCCTTTATCAAATGATTTTTTTTTAATGGTAGTAAGTCCATTTCCATCAGCCGGCCAGTGGGAGTGAGAATTGTTTGTATTGAAACCACTTTTTGAAATGAAGAAATCTAAGACCCTAAAACACAACTATCAACTGAAGGAAGTGGCTCAGAAAAAGAAATTCATAGACAACTTAGGAATATGTAAAAGAGAGAGAAGAAAAGCCGACCAATGGTGGTAATGGCTTCGTGGTGAGACACAGAGTTGTTCATTTTATAGAGGGGCGTGTTCAAATGCGTAAGGGTCTTCAAGCTTTGACTTTGTGCGTGCTGTGTTGTGCCACATCCATCTTGGTCTAGACAATTAGAATTATTTTGAGGCCTTTCCAGTGTGATTACTAAAAGATCTTGCCTGTAAAGCCAACTGAGTGTAAAATTACCAAAATTGAATCAAAATATGTGATTTGTGATGCAAGATTTGGAGTTTTAGGTCTTTAGTAAATATATTGTTCTTAAGTTACTAGAATATTTGCTTGTGTTTAGGTATCATAGTTGATTCATATATATATTTTTTTATGGTTTCCTCTATATAGATGAAATCATTTAGCTGGCCACAAACTACCGATGATTCGATTCAACAAGTAGAGGAAGAGGTTGCAATGTTTTGTCCTATGATATGTCAGGAAGTACAACAAACATGCATGGGATCCTCCAAAAATTATGCCATATCCCTTCCTGAGAGAGTTAATGCTGCTATGTTAGGTTTAATACTTGACTATTGTCAATTTCACCAAGTACCAGGTCGATCCAATAAGGTCTGAAACCTTCTCATTTTTGGCTGAATATGAAATCAACACCCCATCTCCCCATCCCATGTTCAACCCAGGGAGGGGATCTTTTCATTGTCTTAGTATTGTTTTCTTAAGTTCTGCTTCGTTAATTAATACAATTTGGACACGCGCTGGTGCTTTTTCTCTATGTGCATCCAAGCACGATCAGCTGATTTACACCATTTAGTCTTGCAATACAGTAATCGATATGCTTTGTATGCATATTATTGAACTCATTTTTCTTGAATATATAGAAAATGTTCCTGTTTAATGAAGAGTTTGTAGGGATTTTACTTAAACATGCACAGCGGAAATAAATAGTTTCAATTCCCATTCAGGATTCAACTTTGTATTTAAATAAGAACTGTGATGAGAAATATACCTTTTTTTTTTTGCAAACTCCTTTGCGTTATTCTTTTTTAGCAACTTGAATCTGCCTCCCATAGCTGTCCAATTGTCCAGCCTCCAATTAAATCTACACAGAGAATAGACTGCAACTGCTAGGGTTTTTCCTCTTGTGCCAGCAAGAATAATGAAAACCTTATGGACCTTAAACCCTAGCCATGTATTTATATAAACCCAAATGGGCTCGGCCCGGTTCGGTCCAATATTTAATTAATCCATTTAATTAAACCCGATCCGTGAATTAATTAATCCAATTAATTAATTCGAGCTATAAATAACTAATCCAATTAATTAATTTATCCAATGATTGTTAAATTAATTAATTGACAATTTATAATTTTCCAATTCTCTTTTGTATGCGACCCATTAGGTTCCCGACTACGATGTCTGACGACGTGAAATATTATTTTGATCTAATCAAAACTGATAAATTAAACACCCTTTTAATTTATCACAAATTCACACTCGCCGTCCCAGATTGACATCTAGCAATGTATCAGGGTAACACATGTGATGAAAAATGTTACGTGGTATGACAAAACCAAAACTGTTCGTTTATCATGAAACTATAATCCCTTCGTCAATATGATCCGATCAACTACGAGATATGGAAGTGTGTCAATCTTGATTATCGATCACATTTTTCATTTTACTATTAAGTCAATATGAGTCGAAAACTCCTTTTCGACTTATATCTATACCTTGGCCAAGGATTTCGTCATTGACTTAATTGAATGAAACGCAGATCACAATCTCTTACTATCTAAGAGTGACAAATCCTCTATTGGTCATTTACAACCTTCATATGGTTCTTGACATACCCGAACGATGTCGTATTAGCGACCCTTGGCAGAACAACATCCAACACCGTCAAAACATGACTGTCCTCATACAAGGTACTATGATGACCTCAAGTTATAGGACCTATTCCACTACCGAACGTTAGAGATTAACCACTTACACTTAGATAGTTATCCATATGAAATCTCTTAGCGGGTCTCCAATATGTTGTTCTATAACAAAACATCCACGTGTTCATCTTAGTGTCACCACACTTTAGCTCGTGAGATTAGCTACTTACTTCACAAGTAAGAAATGCCACACGTGATGGTCTAATTGTATTAACGATATCCGTATATCGTTATTACTTATGACCACGGTTTATTCAAGATCCAATCATACATAATTTGTATTTCACAATCACAACTCCTTGTGATTAACAAATCACTTAAACTTGGATCTTCGGATTCTATTATTTAATATTATTTATCACAAAATTAATTTAAATAAATAATAGATCTTGCCAAATTAAATGCATTAAACATATTAAAAGTGTTTACAACCTAAATCGATTGGATTTAGGGCATAACACTTACAAACTCCCACTTGCACTAGATCCAATCACTCATGTATCTAATATCATAAGCGTCCACATGACGATCATGTTTCTGTTGTGACAACGACTTTGTCAGTGGATTTGCAATATTGTCATCTGTGGGAACTTGCTCTATTGTTACGTCATTTCTTTATATAATCTCCCTGATGAGATGATTTCGCTTTAGCACATGTTTGGATCGTTGATGAGACCTCGATTCCTTCGCTTGTGCGATGGCTCCATTGTTGTCACAATACAAAGGTATGGGATCAACAATACTAGGAACGACTCCAAGTTCATCTTTCGTCGCTGCTTCAGAAGCAGCAATATACTCGGCTTCTGTTGTTGAATCAGCGGTTGTCTCCTATTTGGAACTTTTCCAACTAACCACTCCATTGTTGAGAGTAAACATATATCCTGATTGAGACTTGCTATCATCTTTGTCAGTTTGAAAGCTGGCATCAGTATACCCATAAATTTTCAGTTCATTTCCTCCATAGATCAAGAACACATTTTTAGTCCTTTTCAAGTACTTAAGAATGTTCTTAACCGCTATCCAGTGTTTCTCACCAGGGTTTGCTTGAAACCTGCTCGTGACACTTAGAGCATATGAAACATCTGATCTTGTACATAGCATCACATACATGATAGATCCTATCGTCGAAGCATAATGAATCTTATCCATGCGACTCCTTTCATCATGTGTTTTAGGACACATATCTTTTGAGAGATAAATCTCATGCGACGTGGGACATAAACCTCTTTTAGACTCTTCCATATTAAATCTTCTCAAGATTTTATTTATGTACGAAGATTGGGGTAAGCCTAGTAATCTTTTAGATCTATCTCTATAGATATTGATTCCCAAGATATATGTTGCTTCTCCCATATCTTTTATGGAGAAATTCTTTGACAACCATAATTTTACCGATTGAAGTATTGGGATGTCGTTTCCCATTAATAATATGTCGTCGACATATAATATTATGAATATGACCGAGCTCCCACTTGTCCTCTTGTAAATACACGGTTCATCTTCATTTTTGATAAAATCAAACCTTTTGATTGTCTCATCAAAACAAAGATTTTAGCTCCTAGAGGCTTGCTTTAATCCATAAATGGATCGATTTAGCTTACATACTTTGTTGGCTCCTTTGGATTCAAAACCTTCAGGCTGTGTCATGTACACCTCCTATTGTAAGTTTCCATTAAGGAAAGCAGTTTTGACATCCATTTGTCAAATCTCATAATCATGGTATGCAGCTATTGCAAGCAAAATTCGAATGGACTTTAGCATGGCTACAGGCAAAAAAGATTCATCAAAGTCAACGCCTTGTCTTTATGTGTAACCCTTCGCTAGTAGCCTTGCTTTGTATGTATGGACGTTTCCATCCACATCGACATTTTTCTTGTAAACCCATTTACAACCTATCGATTTTATCCCACCTGGAAGTTCGACCAAGGTCCAAACCTTGTTCTCATACATTGAGTTCATTTTGGATTCCATGGCTTCTTGCCATCTCTTCGAGTCAATACTTGACTTCGCTTCTATGTAATTTGTAGGTTCATCATCCTCGACTAATAATACTTGATTAGTAATCGTGAATTCGTATCTTCTGGGAGGTCGAATGATCCTACTTGATTTACGCTGAGCTGGAGTGTCCTCAAAGTTCTCTTCATTCTGACCAAGAGTCTGTCCGTCAACAGGTGTAGGATCAGACTCAGGTTCATCTAATTGGTCAACAGTATCTGTGGATTCTTAAACTTCTTCAAGTTCAAGTTTGCTCGCACTACCCTTTCCTAGAATAAAATCTTTCTCTAGGAATATGGCATGTCTTGAGATGAACACCTTCTTCTCAACGTGATTATAAAACTGATATCCAATTGTCTTTTTTGGATATCCCACAAATACGTATTTATCAGATTTAGCCTCAAGCTTATATGATTCATTTCGCTTTACATAAGCGTCACAGCCCCAAACTTTCATGTGAGATAAGTTTGGTCTTTTTCCTCTCCATAGCTCGTATGGAATTTTGTCGACCGATTTAGATGGGACACGATTAAGTGTGTAGCACGCAGTAATTAGTGCATGACCCCAAAATGATTTTGGGATGTTTGCATGGTTCATCATAGATCGCACCATGTCTAACAAAGTGCGATTCCTCCGTTCACCATTATGTTGCGGTGTATATTGCGGAGTCCACTGCGAGAGAATCCCATTCTCTTTTAGATAATCTAAAAATTCTCCTTTTAAATATTCTCCACCTCGATCTGATCTTAGCGTGAGAATATTTTTACTTGTCTATTTCTCAATTTCAAGTTTGAATTCTTTGAACTTTTCAAGTGCTTCAAGCTTGAATTTCATTAGATATACATAACCATATCTAGAATGATCATCAGTGAATGTGATGAAATAAGAGAAAACACCTTTGGCAGTTATTGACATGGGTCCACATACATCAGTATGTATTAATCCAGCAGTTATGTGGTTCTTTCTCCTTTTCCAGTAAAAGGGAACTTGGTCATTTTGCCTAACAGACACGACTCACATTTGTCAAATGATTCAAAATCAGTTGACCCCAAGTATATATCTTTATGTAACTTGGAAATGCGTTTGTCATTAATATGACCCAGTCTGCAATACCAGAGGTATGTGTTGTTTAGATTATCACTTTTATGCCTTTTATTTTCTATATTCATAATAGACGACTTAGTATCAAGAGTATAAATTCCATTTTGCAACACACCACAACCATAAAAGATCTCATCTTTATAAAACGAACAACGATTGTTCTTAACATTAATTGAAAAATCATTCATGTCCAAACACGAAACAGAAATAATGTTTTTAGTAATGGCGGGAACAAAATAGCAATTTTCTAATTCTAATACTATGCCCAAAGGCAGTGATAAGAAGTATGTCCCTACAGCTAATGCAGCAACTCTTGCTCCATTTCCCACGCGCAGGTCAACTTCTCTTTTCTGTAGTGGTCTACTTCTCTTTAGTCCCTGCATATTTATACAAATATGAGATCCACATCCGGTATCTAATACCCAAGAAGCTAATGAAGTAGACATATTAACCTCGATAACAAAAATACCTGAAGTAGAAGTTTCAGAAGACTTCTTTCCCTTCAAGCTAGCGAGGTAAGCCTTGTAGTTCTTCTTCCAATGACCTTTCACTCCACAGTGATAGCATGGGTCATCAGATTTGGTATTGTCCTTGCCTGCTTTGTTATTACCCTTAGCCTTTTTAGATGTTTTCTTAAAACTTCCTTTGATTTTCCTCTTAGTGCCCTTGGAGGAATGAATAGCTAAGACATGCCTAGTGCTAGCCTTGACATTGGGCTCCACAATTTTTAGCATATTAAGCAATTCAGGGAGTGTGCATTTGATTTTATTCATATTGAAGTTCATAATGAACTGTGAATAACTATCTGGCAGAGATTGCAGAACCAAGTTAATACTTAGTTCATGATCCATGATAAAACCCAATGAACCCAGTTTTTCAATGAAACCAATCATCTTCAGCACATGAGCACTGATTAAAGATCCCTCTGCCATTTTGCACCGGTATAGTTGTTTAGAGGTCTAATACCTCTCCACACGAGATTGTTCATCATACAACTTCTTGAGATGAAAAAATCATAGTGTAAGCATCCATACCCTCATGTTGCTTCTACAACTCAGGTGACATAGCTACAAGTATCACACATGCTGCAGTGTTATCGTTATCACTGTGTTTGTTGTAAACAGACACCTTGTCCTGAGTGAAATTTTTAGTAGGCACCACTGGAAAGGGCTGCTCAAGGACATATCCAATTTTCTCATGCTTGAGAACGATTCTCAAATTGCGGTGCCAATCGAGAAAATTTGGTCCGGTCAATTTGTTGGCATCCAGTGTGCCTCTCAAATTCATATGATTAATCATGATTCAAAAAACTGTAAATGATGAAAAATATAGAATTAATATGTATTATAATGCATATGCACAAATTCAATATGGATTTTAATTAAACGTGCTCCCACTATTTAAAATAAATTCATGACCCTCATATATAAATTATTTGAATCCACATTTGATTCCAGTGGGATGGGATCCCATTCGTTGTATCAAGATCTTAAGTGTACTCAACAAATCTTAATAAAACATTTGGGTAGATATTATTATCAATTGTATCTCCATACAACTCCCAGATCATTAAGCTGACAACTCTTTTGTCTTCACACATCTTATGTGTTAGCTTAACATGCCTCTAAAACTTATCTCCTTGAATGTACTCAACAAAAGATAAATTTTAGTTAAGTCAAACCCATCTTTCAGAAATATCAAATATTTCATAGTGTCAAACATATCCCTAATAGACCAGCCTTGAGTGTACTCAACAAGTTAAGGTCGATTTAGGATTCTCGTTTTTCACTATAATGATGGAAGGCAAATAATACTAACTTAATATTTTAACGAGGGATTTAACGTGCAATGGTCTCATCAAGTATATATATATATATATAAACATACATCTACTATGCGAATAAATATATATAAATAATAGTATGGATGATTATGGACTTGTTCTATCTAGCTTTTCCGAGCCAAAGGGAAGACTAGTTGGTCAATTTCTAAGGGGTACAACATTGGATTAACACCAATGCACCATCTCCATGGTGTCCACCTCTTCTTGTGCCTTCAATTAGTCAAACTGCAACATGTATCCTATACTAGTTGACATGCAGGCCTAAAAGAAAACGGACTCGCATGCCCATAATAATAACAATAACAACGGACTCGCAGGTCCAATATAATAAAGAACTCGCCGGCCCATAACAACAATAATGACAACGGACTCGCAGGCCCAAAACAATTAAGGGCTCGCAGGCCCATAAAACAACAAGAAGTAAAGCAACCATTCAATGCATCCATGTGGTCGAATCCATAATCATCCATAAACATTCATCACATAAATGTTTCCTATGTATAATATCTAATATTATATGCAATGTCTCATAAATCTAGCAATTATAGTCATCAAAACTAATTCAAAAATTTTGGATCGAAATAATTAAATAATTAATTAATCATATTAATTAATTAACTTAATTGGCGGGCCTATTTAATTAAAATCAAATTTTAACTAAATCCCGAATTAAAGTCCAACTCTAATTCCATAACTATTGGGCGAAGTAATTTAATCAAAATTGAATTTTAATTAATTATTAAATTAGAGTCATACTCTAAATTTTAATTTGTATTGGGAAGTGGTATTAATTCAGATCAAATTTTAATTAATATAATATTAGAGTCCAACTCTAATAAAAATGAATTAATATTTTAATTTAGGACAAAATTCCAAATAAAATAAAAATTCAATTAAGGGTCAAAATTAAATATTTAAGTTAAAATCTAATTTTAACAAAAATATAAAAGTAGTCAATTTTAAATAAAATTTAAATTTGGGTCAAAATTAAAATTATGGGTCAAACCCATTTAAAATTTAATTTTAAAACCATTTCAAAATTCAAATTCAAAACCACTTTGAAATTTACAAATTGACCCAAGTTGGAAATTAAAATCAGACCCTTCCAAATTAAAAAATTGCAGAACAGGTCCCCCTTTAAAAATTTTGCAAACTGACCCCATTTTCATAATTGCAACCAGGGGCCCGTAATTGCATTATTTGCAACTGAGGCCCGCGTCTCCAACCAAAACCCTAAATATTTTTTTCTACTAACTGGTGCCGCCCCGCCCAACAGTCGAGGGGGGGACTGTCGCCTGGAGGCGGCAGCCCCCCACCACAGCAGCGCTAAGGCATTGCTGCGCTAGTGGCAGTGGCGCGCGGCCACCGTCGCTGGCGTCACTCGACAAAATATTTTTTTTTTTGTTTTTCAAAATCAGATTCTGAAAAAATAAAATAAAATTAAAACTACAATTGCTAGATTCATGGATAAACATGATTAAATCAACTTGTAATTTAATCAATATGTAAATCAATTCCTAATAAATACAAAGTTGGCTCTGATACCACTGTAGGGAATTTACTTAAACATGCACAGCATAAATAAATAGTTTCAATTCTCATTCAGGATTCAACTTTGTATTTAGATAAGAACTGTGACGAGAAATATACCTTTTTTTTTTAAATTTTGCAAACTCCTTTGCGTTATTCTTTTTCAGCAACTTGAATCTACCTCCCACAGCTGACCAATTGTCCAGCCTCCAATGAAATCCACACAGAGAATAGATTACAACTGCTAGGGTTTTACATCTTGTGCCAGCAAGAATAATGAAAATCTTATGGACCTTAAACCCTAGCCATGTATTTATATAAATCCAAACGGGCTCGGCCCGGTCCGATCCAATATTTAATTAATCCATTTAATTAAACCGGGTCCGTTTCGGGATATAAATAACCAATCCAATTAATTAATTTATCCAACGATTGTTAAATTAATTAATTGGCAATTTACAATCTTTCAATTCTCTTTTGTGTGCGACCCATTAGGTTCTCGACTACGATGCCTGATGACGTGAAATATTATTTTGATCTAATCAAAACTGATAAATTAAACACCCTTTTAATTTATCACAAATTCACACTCGCCGTCCCAGATTGACATCTAGCAATGTATCAGGGCAACACATGTGACGAGAAATGTCACGTGGTATGACAAAATCAAAACTGTTAGTTTACCATGAAACTATAATCCATTTGTCAATAATGATCCGATCAACTACGAGATATGGAAATGTGTCAATCTCGATTATCAATCACATCTTTCATTCTACTATTAAGTCAATATGAGTCGAAGACTCCTTTTCGACTTATATGTATACTTTGGCCAAGAATTTCGTCATTGACTTAATTGAACGAAACGCAGATCACAATCTCTTACTATCTAAGAGTGACGAATCCTCTATTGGTCATTCGCAACCTTCATATTGTTTTTGACATACCCGAACGATGTCTTATTAGCGGCCCTTGACAGAGCAACATCCAACACCGTCAAAGCATGACTGTCCTCATACAAGGCACTATGATGACCTCAAGTTATAGGACCTATTCCACTGCCGAACGTTAGAGATTAACCACTGACACTCAGATAGTTATCCATGTGGAATCTCTTAGCGGGTCTCCAATGTTTTGTTCTATAACAAAACATCCACGTGTTCATTTAAGTGTCACCACACTTTAGCTCGTAAGATCAGCTACTTACTTCACAAGTAAGAAATGACACACGTGATAGTCTAACTGTATTAACGATATCCGTATCTCGTCATTAATTACGACCACGGTTTATTCAAGATCCAATCATACATAATTTGTATCTCACAATCACAACTCCTTGTAATTAACAAATTACTTAAACTTGGATCTTCGGATTCTATTATTTAATATTATTTATCACAAAATTAATTTAAATAAATAATAGATCTTGCCAAATTAAATGCATTAAACATATTAAAAGTGTTTACAACCTAAATCGATTGAATCTAGGGCATAACACTTACAGAGTTGAGTTTGATTCTTCTGCATATCTAGGAGAGGAAAACTTTTGATGAAAAGTTTGTCCGGTTAGACACGAAGAAACTATGTGAGTTGACATCTGCTGCCGATAGCCTCCAATTGAGGCCTTTGGTTGATCTGACCATTCGTGCACTTGCCTGGATGATTGAAGGAAAAACTCCTGAGGAAATACATGAGACCTTTCATTATCTGTTGCTAGAAGATGAAAAAATTTATAGTCCTCACCGTCTTTCTTTATCTGATACTGTTATTATTTGTATATTGCAGGAGGAGAAGTTGCAACCCTTGAAAAATGTATCTAATGATCCACGTATCAGGCTTTTGAATCGATTATATGCAAGAAAAAGGAAGGAATTAAAAGATGGGCAGAATCCAAAGGTGCCTGAGGATCTGCTCTTGTTTCTAGCCTTTGCTATTGGGTTATAGTAGATGCAGTGCTAGGCTGTTGAATTGCAACTTAACATTTAGCCCTTGTTTGAGCCCCCCATTTTTTAATAATACATTTTTTTTCTAAACTCATTTTCAATCACATATTCTCTTAATAAAATAATATCACATAAATCCTAAACTTTTTCTTACTTTTTCAAATACACATTCTCCAAAAATTCACTATTCCAAAATCTAATTTTTACCAAATAACGGGTCTCAAACAAGGGCTTAGAATTACCGAAATTTATTTAACTACTGACAGCATAGTAACATGTTTCATAATTATAACGTGCATTTTCATGCTAATGGAAATTGCATCTTGTAACTTTTAGAATATTGAGGTTGAAGAAGAGCAACCTGTGGATGAACTCTCAGTTGATGATCTTTTGTCATTTATAAATGGTGGGATTGGAGGTACTGCAAAATTTTCAACCCATTCTATTCAATGAAGACTTCCTTCTTGTATTCACGTAATTGACATTTTTTTATTCCTTTATAGTGACTAAGTCTCCTTGATGATCTCATAAGAGACAGCAAACTGCTCTCTCAGCTAGTCGATTGAGATTTCAAGTCCTTGAAGATGGCTTTAATTTGCAATTTTTATTTGCTATTGAACTTTATATATATCTTTAGTATTGTCAGTATTAACTTTCTTTCTGGTCTGTAAGTTGCATTCACACACGCATGCACATTCTTTTAGTTATCGTAAGGCAAACTGTCGTAAGTGTTTCTTTGATAAGCTTACTGTCCATGAGCTGTTTGCTTGAAACTTGAAGTTCTAAAGAAAGTCTACTTTTCGTAGATGGTCATGTTGAAAAAATTTTCTCTTTTACTTTTGCTTCAATACTTCTCTGCTATGTGGTCTACAAATTCAAAAGGGGCTAGAACTACTAAGAACAAAAGGAAAGGCAGGAGGAGGAAAGAACAGCCTAGAAATTCTTCTTTAAACACTGAAAATGGAGACAATAAGGTTGGTTCCTTTCCATGCTCTCTCTCTCTGTTACCTAATGATATAGTTTTGAATATTGTTTTTCATTTTAGGAGAAAGAAACTATATAACCCTATGTTGATTCTGTGGATGTTGTTGGAGAAAAGATGGGTTTACTAACTTGGATTGGCTAAGGCTTTTAAGATAACAATACTAATAGGAAGGAGGAAGTGAAAAAGGGAAACTTGTATTTCTCAACTTCAAGACTTTACACACTTTTTGGCATGTTACAAAATGTAGGGCACTACCCCTTTATATAGTGTTTACAAGAAGATTCTAGTCCACACATTTTTTAGAGACACCTAGACCACACATCAAGATATTTTCCTAGAATTCTCTAGATATTCTTTATAAAACTACATATCTTACTTAGATATTTATATAGATTTTTCTAGATAATGCTTCTAGAAATGCTATGCATGTTGGGCCTTTTAATTGATTTGGGCCTATAAGCAAAATCCTTAAACCCATATTATTTAGTCCAAAAATCAAGTTTACTACTCAACATCCCCCCTTAAACTTGATTTTGCTACTCTAAGTAGAGTTCTTAACTTGCGAAACACATCATGCTTGAGTGGCTTAGTGAGAATGTCGATGATATGCTCCTAGGAGGTTACATTTCAGCTGCACTTCTTTCTTTGCAATGCTTTCTCTTATAAAGTGATATCTTGTATCAATGTACTTGCTTCTATCATGGAATACTGGGTTCTTTGCCAATGCCGATTTGTTATCAACATGGATTTCTATTGGCTCTTCTTGTGATACTCCAAGCGTCTTCAACAAATTTCTAAGCCAAATCGCATGGCAGACACTTGATGTAGCTGCAACATATTCAGCTTCACATGTAGATAGTGCTACGATCGATTGCTTCTTTGAGCTCCAAGTGAAAGCTGTGTCACCCAAGTAAAACACATACCCAGTCATACTCTTTCTATCATCACTATCTCCGCCCCAATCGCTGTCACTATATCCAACAAGTTTGAACTCATTAGATGATGAATAGACTAAGCCATAATCAAGTGTACCTTTGATGTAGCGAAGAATTCTCTTTGCAGTTTTCATATGGGTCATGGTAGGTGTCTCCATATAGCGACTAATGAGCCCAACTCCAAAAAGGATAACTGGTCTTGTGCACGTCAAATATCTTAGACTTCCAACAAAACTCTTAAAAAGTGTTGGATTTACTTTTTCACCTTCATCATTCTTCGACAACTTGATTCCGCATTCGACGGGGGTGCATACGGGCTTACAGTCCTCCATATTGAATTTCTTTCGCATATCCTTCTTGTGAGATGAAAATGCAGTCCTCCGTTTGCTTTACCTCTATCCCAAAATTGTAGGCCATGAGGCCGATATCCGTCATCTCAAATTCTTGAGCCATGATCTTCTTAAACTCAGTAATCATACTTTGATTATTTCCTGTGAATATAAGATCATCTACATACAAACAAACAAGCAAAATATCTCCTTTCTCATTTACCTTTGTATAAAGGGAATATTCATGAGGGCATTTTGTAAAGTCATTTTCTAGAAAATACTTGTCAATTCTACTATTCCATGCCCTTGGAGCCTGTTTCAACCCATATAAAGCCTTTTTTAGTTTCAGGATTTTACCTTCATGTCCTTTTATTTTATAGCCCATTGGTTGCTCCACATAAATTTTTTCTTCAAGATAGCCATTTAGAAATGCCGATTTCACGTCCATTTGGAATATCTTCCACTTATTTTGCACCGCAAAAGAGATAATTAATTTATGGTTTCTAAACGAGCAACAGGAGCAAATACCTCTTCATAATCAATTCCCGACCGTTGGTTGTAGCCTTTGGTAACCAATCTTACTTTGTACCTTTCTACGTCTCCTTTAGCGTTCTTCTTTGCCTTGTATATCTACTTAATTCCGATTGCTCTCTTTCCTTTGGGAAGAGTTGTCAGCTCCCACGTGTCATTTTTCTCTATAGCCTTAATCTTTTCATCCATAGCATTTCTCCATCTTTTATTTTGCGCTGCTTCTTCATACCCTATTGGTTCACAATCGGCAAAAAAATAAAAAAGTGCGAGATCATTTTGATTTTCTATTACCTCATATAGCTCTTGTAGGCTCCTCATCCGTGGTGTCCTTTCGCTTGAACTTTCTCCTTGTGAAGATGATGGAGAAGCATCTCCATGGGTAGGTGATAGAGGTGGATTGATAATCTCTTGTTGTTATCCATTCTCTTGTTCTTCTTCATCAAAGAATGGTAAAAAGCCATAGTCTTCTTCTTGGACACCCCAATCCCAAGCTCCTTCTTCATCAAACTCGACATCTCTACTTATGGTGATCTTCTCATTGCTTGGATTATACAACTTGTAGCCTTTAGAGCGAGAGTCATAGCCGATAAAAACATACCTTTCACTCCTGTCATCTAGCTTGGATCGTTTTTGATCTAGCACATGAGCATATGCAATGCTCCCAAATACTCGTAAGTGGGAGATGCTGGGCTTTCTTCCACTCCATGGTGTCTTATTCCACACACTTCTAGAAGGTGATCGATTAGACAGATACACGGCGCAATTAACAGCTTTAGCCCAAAGTTCTTTGGGTAATCTCTTACTTTTGAGCATGCAACGGGCCATGTTAAGGATGGATCTGTTCTTTCTTTCGGCTACTCCATGTTGTTGTGGAGAGTATGGAACCGTCGATGGGCGACGAATTACATTCTCCTCACAATATTTCTCAAACTTTTTGGAGGTGAACTCTCCTCCTCTATCCGATCTCAAGGCTTTTATACTATATCCGCTTTCTTTTTCAACAAGAGCTTTAAACTTCTTAAAAATTTCAAAAACTTCCAATTTTTGTTTGAGAAAATAGACCCAAGTCTTCCTACTGAAATCATCAATAAAAAGAATAAAATAATTGCTCTTACCGAGAGAGCTTGGATTAATTGGCCTTCAAATATCGGAGTGTACAAGTTCTAGCGGCTTCTTAGCTCTTGTATATGCTTCTTTTGGAAAAAAATTTCTCGAATGCTTTCCAAGTAAGCATCCTTCACATAATTAATCCGCATGATTTATTGGAGGCAAACCTTTCACCATTTTCTTCTTACTCAACAACTTTAAACCTCCAAAATTAAGATGCCCAAATCTCAAATGCCAAAGCCAAGATGAATCTTTAAAACAAGCTTTTAAGCATTTAGCGACGTCATTTTGAATGCTTAACGCAAACATTCTATTTTTTGTCATAGGGACTTTGGCAATCAAATTTTCTCTTTGATCTCTTATTGAAAGACTATGATCTTTCAAATGAATATCATAGCCCTTCTCTAAAAGTTGTCCTAAACTTAAAATGTTATTCTTCATATTGGGCACATAATAGACATTTGAGATAAATTGATGCGTACCATTTTTCAAGCGGATCAAGATTTTACCTTTTCCTTTCACTGGGATCTTGGATTCATCTCCAAAGGTAATGTTGCCGTTTACTGATTCATCAAGCTCCACAAACATGTTTTTTCTTCCACACATATGGTTGCTTGCTCCTGTATCCAAATACCAAGTATTCTTTTCTCTACTCTCTTCACCTTTGTAAGCCAACAGTAGTGCATGATCTACTTCACTTTTCCGACAAACGTAGTTGACTTTCTCCTCAACTTGGTTAGTAATATTTCTACATTCTGAAGCATAATGACCAAGTTTTTAACAATTGTAACATTTAATTTGAGGTTTGTCATACCTTGGTCCTTCATTTTGCCTCGTACATTTTCGTCTTCCGTGACCTCTGGTAGAAAATGAACTTTGTCTTCTTTTCTCGTAGAATGCAATTCTTCCTTGATCTTGATCTTGACCTCGTCCTCTTCCTCTTCCTCTTTGGCTTCTTCTACTATTGAACATTCCTTCACCCTCAATCAAAGTGAGCTTTGTTTGAAGAGCTTGCTCTAATGGCTCTTCTTTCACCTTCTTCCTTAGTCTTTCCTCATGGGCTTGTAAATATCCCATGAGTTGATCGACACTCATACTATCTAGATCTTTAGATTCCTCAATGGCTACAACTATGTAGTCAAATTTAGAATCTAAAGACCTAAGTATCTTCTCAATTACTCAAGTGTCGTTCAACTTTTCTCCATTCCTTTTTAATTGATTCACAATAGCTAATACTCTAGAGAAGTAATCAGAAATTGATTCTGATTCTTTCATATGTAAAGCTTCAAACTCACCTCGAAGTGTTTGAAGTCGAACCTTTTTCACCTTCTCAACTCCTTTGTGGGAGTTTTGCAAGATCTCCCATGCTTCCTTACTCGTAGTAGCACAAGCTACTTTCTCGAACATGCCTTCATCTAAGGCTTGATAGATGAGGATGAGTGCCTTCTTGTCCTTCTTCCTTGCATCCTTCAAACTATCCCTTTGTGCTTGGGATAGAGCAATCTCGTCTTGTGGCTCCGTGTAGCCTTTCTCTACGATCTCCCATGCATCTTGCGATCTGAGCAACGCTTTCATCTTTATACTTCAATTGTCGTAGTTATCCTTGTTGAGTTGGGGGACTTGAAAAGGAATCATCCCACTTGCCATTTTTCACAAGAACCTTGGGGCTCTGATACCAGTTTGTTGGAGGAAAGATGGGTTTACTAACTTGGATTGGCTAAGACTTTTAAGATAACAACACTAATAGGAAGAAAGAAGTGAAAAAGGGAAACTTGTATTTCTCAACTTCAAGACTTTACACACTTTTTGGCATGTTACAAAATGGAGGGCACTACCCCTTTATATAGTGTTTACAAGAAGATTCTAGTCCACACATTTTCTAGAGACACCTAGACCACACATCAAGATATTTTCCTAGAATTCTCTAGATATTCTTTATAAAACCACATATCTTACTTAGATATTTATATAGATTTTTCTAGTAGATATTTATATAGATTTTTCTAGATAATGTTTCTAGAAATGCTATGCATGTTGGGCCTTTTAATTGATTTGGGCCTATAAGCAAAATCATTAAACCCATATTATTTAGTCCAAAAATTAAGTTTACTACTCAACAGATGTCTCTTGATACTTTAGGAATCAAATAGTTTCTCTTCTGGCTGCATCAATAGTGACATTAATGTTTCCTCGCCGAGTAAAACGTCAATGTCTAAAGACATGGCATCTGTTATATTTTCACCCAAGCTGGGCTTCAACGAGGGTGATAGAGATGATGAGTTAGATCCAGTGATGAAAGAACAACTTGACAGGTGTGATGGTTGTGAAATATTTATATTCAAGTTCCATGATGTTTCTCCCCATGGATTCGATATCAAATTTTAAATTATTGTGCACAACTGCATTTGTTACATTTTTTTTTTTTTTTGTCATTTTTTAAAAGTGTTGACAACTTATTTGGTCATACAATAACTGTCATTTTTACACATGATTGGAAAGAAACATTATCGCTGTCCCCCTGTTATTACCTCTTGTTTTATACAGTGTTGTAAGCCTGCTTATTAGTATGGCAATTTTGTTGTGAGTAAACAAATCATAGGGTTTGATTCTGAAGGTGAAGTATTGTGCCGTGAAAACTAATTCTTCCCACCCCTAAACCCTAGTTCTCCCTCAAATTCGTCTTTCTTTATCCATGTGAATTCTGGTGTTCCCTTTTCATTTTTCATCCATTGCCTGCTCTATGTCTATAATTAAAGGAAGAGGGAATGCCAAGCTAGTTGGGGGGGGGGGGGTGTGGGTGACTTGAAGATTCAAGTGAGTGACACATGAAAGTGAAGAGTTCGGTACATACAGAAGCATCAGGAATGCTATGTGCGACAGAATGTTGGAATAGTTGGAAAACTAGGAACATCATTAACATAAATCTGAAATGTGGATGTTAAGATCAATGATTATAGAACAAAACGAGGTAGAGTGAGACATGTATTGATTCGTGATTGATTAAGGCCGTACAAACTGGACATAAATTCTGGGACTGTGCGAGAACTGATAGTTTTATGAAATTTGAATAATGGTATCAGATACAAGGTCAGGAAAAGTGATGGGACTAGAACCTGGAAGTAGACGCCAATGCATGATCCCAGTGAATGAGGTTTTGAAAAGGATTTGGTCTTTTGCAATTATTTAAGAAATGAACCCTGATAGAGTTGAACAGAAGAAAAAGATCCATCAAAATAATCTTAAATAAATTTGGTTTAGGCTAACTATATTGAGTTAAGGGAAGTGCATTGGATGATTTCAAGATTTTGAAATCTGGATTTTGTTTTGGTTTTAATTAAGCAGAACTATATGATTCTAACAATCCTTTTATTTTCCCTACTTACATGGAGGTCGAGGATTTTGCACGGAGATTGAATTCTGTCTGGCCTGAAAGAATGCAAGAGCTGTTATCATTTGGTCAAGAAAGAAATGTTGTACCAGTAACTATCAATGGAAATGGATCTTTCAAGAGATGTACAGGTAAGCTGCATTTATAAAGTTAAATTGGTTATGCAGTATGACGTAACTGAAACTTTGCTTACCATTTTACCCCAGAAAACTAGTTTTTTCCTGACTAATAATCCACCCTTCATGAGGAAAAGAGAGACAAGAAAACAAAATCAATAGGTATCAAGTATTGCCCCAAGAGCAATTTAAAAAATAAAAAAATAAAAAAAATGGAAGTAAGTTGCTTATTTTGAATGGAAGCTAAAAGATCATTTTAAATAAAGTAACTTATCCATTTTTTGATTGAATACAAAAAGTTACTTGAAGGTACTTAATAGCCAAACACACTATTAACGAGTGTGCTGGGCAGAACAAGATAACTTCGTTAGGAACGGTCTAAAAGATAACATATGTTTCTTGAGCAGGTTTGGACAGGAGATGATGGTCATAAGCAACAATCGTCTTGTTTCTCTTTCAGTTTTTAAGATGATTGTGATGAATGTAGCTCTTATTTATTATCCAAGATTATGGCAACATTTCGTGTCGAATACATTTAAGTGTTAAACAATCTCGAATTTGAGTTTGCGATACCTTTTTTGTTGGAAACCTAGTTTAAACATTGGAGAAGCAAAGACAATAAGAAAATATTATACGCACAATATTATCTGTAACTTAATGCCATTTAGATGACCACTGGAAGTTAAGCAGTTTTCTGAAATCATCTTCATTCTTTCGAACTTATGACGGTTTTCAAATTCATATCAGAAATTTTAAGTTGCATGTTTTTAAGAGCGCTCAAAGTCTCACAATACATCCACAGCAGTTAGAGGAATATATCTTGAAGTAACACAGGCATTAAGAATGCAAATAGATTGAGACTGCCGCCACCATATTCCATTTCCACATTGGAAATTTCTATCCCTTAATGGTGATATCCTCCTTGAATGGTTAAAAACTGGCACGGAAAAATGGAAAGGTAACGACACCGAAGCACAAGCCCTTCCATGAAATTTTGCCTAGTTAAAAGAAAAACGTGAGGCGCTGTCGTCTTTATAGCATCATCTCCTTCAAAAATGTATACCATGGATGAATGGACTTGATTTTCAGCTCCCAGTAGACACGATAAAATTTTTTTACTACTGTCGAGGCAAAAAGATATCAATAATGGTTTTTTGAAATAGTCATAAATTTAGAGAATCATGATTAAGGTTCTCTTGCTAAAGTTTTTATCATGGACACGAGATCAATTCTATGTGGGTGAAATGCTATACTCTGGTTATCAATGAGAAAAGCATGTACATGCTCATTATTTTGTTATTTTCTCCTAATATTATGGGGAAAAAAGTAGGAGATGTGGCTGGGAGTGCAGTTTTTGACACCACAAACGTGTAGATTATTGACAAGATTATGAAAGCAAACCATGCCACTTGAAGAAGAGACTACGTTAATTACTTTAAGTGCATTTAGATGTCGAAAAGCGGATAAACCTCGGCCAATTCTGAGGAATTTTTTGGGCTTTAAGGTTATTGTCTTGTTGAGGTCTGATTCTTGAATCTGTTCTTTAGGGAGGAGACCAATGTCAATATATGGATCTTAAAACAAAAAGCTCTTGCCCCTACAAAGGCATGTCAAAAACCTTAATTTATTATAGATTTAGTCGAGAAAACAAAATAAAACACACAGCTTACATCCTATATTCACCAAACATTTGATCATTAAGTAGATTACAGCAAACTGGAGAAGAAAATGAACAGAATCAAATACATTCAAATATTAAACTCAGTCCTTATTCTTCTTGTCAGAGTAATATATCTTGAAAGCCTTGGGGAGAAAGACAGGCAACAAGAATCCAAACAGATTGAAACACCAAAAGGCCATATTTGCAATGGCAAGTGCTCTCCCAATGTACAGTCTTCGACTGCTCCCACCATATTCAGCTTCCACCTTTGAAATTTCACTTCTCAACCATTCAACAATGGTGAAAATCCTTCTCGAATTGTAAAAAACCGGGACGAAAACACGAATAGGTAATGAAAAGTTTCCCGAAAAGGAAACCCCTTCCATGAAAACTTGACTAGATAAAAGAAATACATGGGGTGCTGCTGCTTTGATCCCCTCTTTGTCTCCTTCAAATATACCCTCAAAAATATATACTATGGGAAGGAATAATCCGATCACGGCCGCGAAAAACACGTAAATACTAAGGATTTTGTTAGTTTCTCCGAATACTCGAGGATGGGGAAGGGAGGATGTGGCCGGAAATGCAGTTTTTGACATGAAATACATGTAGATTATTGAGAAGATTACAAAAGCAAAGTCCTCAATGCTTACCATGCCACTTGCAGAGAGTACGATGATTACTGCGAGTGCATTAAGCTGTCTGAAAGTGAAGAAACCTCGGCGAGTTTGAGGATTTTTTGTGGGCTTTGACTGTGAGGTGGTTTTCTTGTTGATGTCTGGTTCTTGAATTTTTTCTTTAGGGAGACCTATGTCGATTGATGGACCAACCCCACCTGACATTTTTGTGTATTCTAAACAGTGTATGTTTCTTGAGTCAAATTGTTGCCTGTAAGTATAAAATTATTTGCAGATCAAGAAACGCTTTTTTCTTAATCCGTGGGTAACGAAAATTGGGGGAATTTAGAGTGAGGAGTGCTTTCAGGGATAAGTTAGAGAGAGAGAGAGAGAGAGAGAGAGAGACATTTGTGGGTGGTTTGCAAGATAAGAAGGTTAAGGTGAAGTCTTAGTACAAGTGGCACTAGTTGAGGACTTCATCAACCTATCACGTGTTTGGCTACTAGGCTTATATGAGATGTGTGACCAATTAAATATTTAAGCAATCCCAAACAACAAACATGCACTAAATAATAGGCCAAATATAAGTAATTTTCTTATTTTAAAAATAAACTTTTTAACTTTGTGGTCCACTAAATAACTATTTATAATATAACCAAAAAACAAGTATCATACATGAATGCATTTGAACCAATAAATAAATAAATAAATAAATTGCCATCGTTAATGTATATTGTGATAGATGTATGTTTATGTCTTATCGATATCATCTCTAGAAACATCCTATATTCCATCGAGCTTGACATTATGACTCAAAAGTGTTGATTGAGTAATATTAACTATGTTTTGGACAATTTTTAAAATGACCCCTCATATAATGGAGAAAACTTCTCATGACGTCAGTTTTCTAGTTTAACTAGTAATAACATTTCTAATGCAGTCTAGCTGACAATTAAACAGAAATACTTATAGTACACATATACTGATGTCTAATGAGTATAGGGCTAAGCTCAAAAGTTATCTTCTAGTACACATATATTGATGTCTAATGAATATAGGGCTAAGTACACATATACTCTCTTTAAGTACTTGAATAACCTCTGTCTGCCAGTTAATTAGAACACATGAACTAGCAAGTTGAATTGATGGAGTACACTCAAATTGAATATTAAAGCTAGAAATATAGTCGGTTAAAACTTAGCTTTTTACTCGTATCCTCAAAGGGTTTCATTTCTAGATTTATTAATCGAAAGTCTTAGGCAAATGCGCAGTATACTTTGTTAATGGTGGAAAAGGTCCTTTCAGTAGAAGATAGTAAAAACCTGCTACAAGAAAATAACAAATATATATATATATATATATATATATATATAAAATAATAATAATAATAATAATAATTCTTTTCTTACTATTACAGTGGGTTGATTTGTCCTTTTCAAACTTTGTTTTAAGGATGGCAACGGAGAGAATATGAGACGGCCGATCATTCCTACCCCATCTCATCAGGTATTTTTGTTATCTTACCTCATCCTCATACCCGATTAAAGTGGGATGAGAAGCATGGCAAGTCCCCCACCCTATTTTTTGCCAGTTTAGTTTTGGTCTTTATTTTTTATTTATTTTATTTTTTGTTTTTTATTTTTTTTATGTCTTTAGCTAGTAAATATTATTACTATTATTATTATTTGCAATTTGTTAAGAACAACTTATATTTTCTTTAAAAATGATGATAATTTTTAATTTTTGTATGATAAAAAAAACTTAAATTTGAAGTAGGGACGGACCAAACTTTTAGTGCCGTGGGGTCAAAAATTAAAATATATATATTTTTTTAAAATAACATAATATTAATGAAAATAAGTTAATGCGTATTTTAATACCTTGAAAACGTCATATAATTACATCATTGTCAATATTATTAAATAAAATTTGCTACTTTTATAGTTTTGTTTATTATTTCATTGACAAATGCTGAGTTGAAGTGAGTAAATCAAATTAAATGTAGAAAGTAAATGAATTAAAATAAAATTCAATTTTAATTCAGGAAGTGAAATTCAAACTAAAAGCAAATGTAATTCAAAAGTAATTCAAATTACACTTAATCCATAATAATCTTAAAGTTTTTGGAGTCATATTCCATATAAAATTTTCTAATAAAATGATATAAATTATATTGAAAAATTTATCGTGTAAAAATAATAATCGCTAATGAAACAATTGAATTTTTTTAAAAAGAAAAGACGAATTTGACGACTTTTTTTTACCTATACGTTTGATGCATCTTTAACTATTTTCAATATTCGTTTTGGACTATTTGATATGACAACGATGTAGTTTTCGAAACGAGCTTTTACATGAGATAGACGATTTGTGGATTTAGATAGGATACAATTGGCAATGAATTTTGAAAGATAGCTATTATCGAAATTTTTGAAATATTTGTTTGAAACGGTCTATTTTGACGTTTCGTAACTTTTGCTATGATTGACCATTTCACATGTCATTGATAAGAGAAAAAATAGGTCATGAATACCTCAAAATAGTATTAAGAATGCAATATTTCGATTTCATTTGACATCTCATAATAAGTGCACCAAAGTAGGTTGTAAAAGGATTAAAACAACTATTTTCTTAAGAAAAAAAACAAAGGCAAATATTTGTGGGGTCATTTAACCCCACATGACCCCATGTAGGTCCGTCCACGATTTGAAGTTAAATTAAAAAGGGGCCGGTAGCGAAGCGGGGACTATGTTTTCCATCCCTGTCCCATTCGAGGCGTGGCCTTGTGGGTATAAGATTGAATGAATTTTTTTTGCCATCCTTACTCTGTTTGTAACTCTCGAGTAGTTTTTGAAAAGTAAAATGGCAACTCCCATCCATCTATATGCAAGATTTTGTAATCGTAATTATTTATTCTTTTCTTCTTTTGTCGATTTCTCACTATGTTTACTTCCTCAGAAAACAAGCAAGAGAGTTCACTTTGCAAGGAGTTTTATAAGGGAAGTTGTTGGATTTGCACCATATGATAAGAGGATTACTGAGCTTCTTAAAGTTGGAAAGGACAAGCGAGCTCTGAAGGTGGCAAAGAGAAAACTGGGAACTCATAAGAGGGCAAAGACAAAGAGAGAGGAGATGTCAAGCGTCCGTAAGATGAGGTAATTTTCCTTATTGACATTGCATCTCTTTTCCCATCATTAGAAGATAATCATGCTTGTGCTATATTTACATTTTCCATCCAATTGAAGTTTTATCCTAATAGTTTTATAATTTTTTACTCGAATAGAATTGAGTTTCTCATTTTTCTCTATATACTTGTAATCTGGTCACAGTTTCAATTTGTTGGAGATTAATTTTTATTAGCCAGTAGCTTATGTTATTTTGGCAATTTGATGCAGGGCTGCTGGAGACGGTCGTGAGAAGAAGTGAAGTCCGTTTTTTAGAATTTTTGTTTTAGGACCGAGCATCTTACAAATGATTGTAAGTATTAGTTGATATATATACTCTTGAGATTGAGCCAGCAACTGCAAGACTTAGTTCTCAGAGAGTGTAAGGAGCAAAAGATGAATAGGAAAGTTTCTGTGTATTGAAAAATGAAAATCACACTTATTGTACATCACGTGGTCCTTAAATATAAAATGGAAAACTACAGCACTAATTACAGTTGTTTACAGCTGTACAGTAACTGAAAATTTCAACTAGTCTAACTAATTCTTTAGCTCACTTCCACATCAGCTTCTTCTGGTAGTCTCAATAGCCCCCTTCAAGATGGAGTGTATATATTGCACACATTCATCTTGCACAGTAGAGAATGAAATAGAGATGCTCCTACTGATTTTGTCATAATATCTGCTAGTTGATTACCTGAAGAGACATGCATGGTGTGTAAAATTCTAGCCTTAATCTTGTCCCTTACTAAGTGACAATCCAGGTCGATATGTTTTGTTCTCTCATGAAATACAGGGTTGCTAGCAATGTGTAATGCAGCTTGATTATCACAATATAACAATGCTGGCTTCTCGTGTTTGATCCTCAAGTCAGCTAGTAAGTATAGGAGCCATTGAACTTAGCATGTAGCAGATGCCATAGCACGGTATTCAGCTTCTGCTGAAGATCCGGAAACTGTATACTGCTTCTTAGGCTTTTAGGATATTAAAGCATTTCCTAAAAAAGAACAATATCTAGTTATAGACCTCCTTGAATTAGGGCAACTGACCCAATCTGAATCTGAAAAGATCTTCAACCGTAAATCATTTTCTTTAGGGAAGAAAATCCCTTGTCCTGGCGTCCTCTTGATGTATCTCAATACCCTATAAGTTGCATTCAAATGAGGTTCCCTTGGTTGGTTCATAAACTGACTTAACACTTGAACCACATAACTCAAGTCAAGCCTAGTAATGGTTAAGTATAATAACCGTCCCACCAACCTCCTGTAGATTGATGCATCCTTCAATAATTTTCCACTCTCTCTGTCCAGTTTAATGTTCAGCTCCATTGGTGTGTTTGCTGGTTTAACACTACTAAAGCCATCATCTTCTAAGATGTCTATGTCAAATTTTCTTTGATACAAAGAAATTTCTTTCTTAGACCGAGCCACCTCCAGTCTTAGGAAATATTTCAATACGCCTAGATCCTTTATCTTAAATTTTATATCAAGGGAAGCCTTCAAATTATTCATGCCTTGCAAGTCATTTCCTGTCAAGACAATGTCATCCACATATACTAGAAGAGCAACAAAAAAGCCATTTCTATTTCTGGTAAAGAGTGTATAATCAAACTTGGACTGTGCGAAACCTTCTTGTATCAAAAAAAATGAGAACTTAGTGAACCATTGCCTTGAGGCTTGTTTTAAGCTGTATAAAGACTTGTTGAGCCTGCATACCATATTGCCCTCTTTGCTGTCAACACTAGGAGGAATTCTCATGTATATTTCCTCATTCAAATCACCATGTAAAAAGGCATTGTTGACATCCAATTGTAAGAGATTCCAATCCATAGCAATAGCTATAGCCAATAAAACTCTTACAGATGTAAGCTTTGCCACAGGAGAAAAAGTTTTGAGATAATCAGAACCTTCCTTTTGAGTATAGCCCTTAGCCACTAATCTGGCTTTATACCTTTCCAGGGACCCATCAACTTTCAATTTTACTTTGAATATACATTTACAGTCAATAGGAATTTTTCCAGGAGGTAAACTAGTGATTGTCCATGTGTTATTATCCTCAAGTGCCTTAATTTCCTTAGTTATCGCTTCACACCAGTTAGAGTCCTTGACAGCTTGATCAAAAGACTAAGGCTCAATCATATTTGTGATACTAAAAGCATATGCTCGATGGGAAGATGAGAGCTTATCATAAGCAAGATAATTCTGAATATTACAGCTGGAGCTTAAGCTTGAAAGGACCGTGTTGTGGACTG